GGGGGGGGTTTGGTAGGTTTCAATCGCTTATATCCGCAGCCAGTCAGAAATCACACAGATCATGCATTTTCATGCCCGACTGCCCTGGTGAAGCAAAACAACTAGATTTGCATCCACTGTACCCCTGAAATTAACAAACAACCAGATTCTTTCAAAGCAAAGGGATTTGGAAACGATGACATCACCCTTAACAAAACATTAGGGCTAACCTACGATAGGTAACTGACTTAATAGTTGACCAATCCCCTTTGAGCTCCAGCCTAAGCTGATCGCAGCACGTGCTGCACCCTTGGCTCACTGCAGCCAATCAGAACGCGGTGTTCTGGCTGTTTGCACATGCAGGACCGAAAGCTCCCACCCGAACCGGAATTGCCTTCGTGGACATGCGCTCAGGAACAGGGAGCCCAGATGCGCATGTCCTGCGCTGGAACGACGTGTGAGGGACACTAACGGCTCACATCGTGTCACGCGAGATGGAAGCCCTCTCCCAGGATCTTGTCCCCCCCCCACCCCAATCGATGACATTGATTTCTCCACCTGGGTCAAAGGGCACGGATGCATCGATTGGAGAAAGTACCTGACACAGCAAGAAGAGGACCAGCTCCAGACAGATCAATGACACTGCTGTCCCTCCATGGGACAGATAAATTCATACATACATGCATACATACATGCATACATACATGTACATGCCAACAATGTGTGTATATACAGCGTGCGTTACACACTCATCCACAGCTAAGGTCCCCCCCAAAACTCTGGACATCCCAGCCATTTTTCAAACAGAACAGGGGCTGGCAAGAGACAGAAACAGCAAAGTCCTGGATCCAGGCCAGGCAGCAAACTCCAGTAAGAAAAAGAAAGAAAGAAGAAAATGAAATAAAAAGCCATGAATATGAAGAAGAGACTGGTGGGATCGACATTATGAAATTCATGGAAAACTATGAGTTTAATCCTATTATAAAGATTCGCTTAAAAACATGCAACTGTCAGCAGAAATGTTTACAGATGTAAGAATATACAAATATCATGCATTTAAAAAAGCAAGACAACTTTATTGGGAGAGTGACACGATAAAGGAAATTCCATTAGAGTGTGGCACCGTATTCAATTCACAATCCACATCTGAACATTCGTGTCAAATACCAAAACGATTTCTTTTCGGATGTCCATTATGGTATGTAGGACAATA